TCGTTCGTCAGTATAACTTGCTATTGGTAGGATAGGTGAAGTTGGAGGTCATGGAATCTCTCAGTCAGCTTCTGCAAGACAACACTCTAATTCCTGCCACTCAAACTGCAACTGCAAAGGTTCTAACTTCAACTGACTCCAACTCCGAGGGCGTTCGTTTATATGGGCACCGACCAAAAACTGGTGCGGGGTTAGATGCAGTCTGTGGTTTTCAGTAAATCCTGATTTCTGACAAGAAACCTCTTGTTGTCTGGCCAGGAAAATTGATTACTTCCCATTTTGGAAAATTAATCACTTTCCATTTTGGGGTGATCCCTTCATCCGTGAGGAGAGGTTGCAGGAGAGCCATCCTCTCAAACTCCCCCTCTCTCACATTGATATCTCATACCAAATCGTTTCAGTGGGAATTAATAATTTCCCTGTCTTTCTCATGAAATTACCTCCGCCTATCATCATTGCTACCAGTCGACCAATGGCGTCCCATTCGTGCAGGCATGGCTAAGCTGGCATCATTAGAATTATAACCTAGAATTTTTGTTTACAAAATTTTTGTTCCCACCAGCCAAAATTCTTACGAATACCATATGGCCACTTAAAATTTCTCAGATCTTTTGGTCACTTTGTGTCTTCTTAACCAGCACTTTGACAATTGATTGATAGTGTTTGTACAAAGTCTGCTGTCTGGTCCCTTCATGAAGGTAGGGTCTACAGAAACCCTTGGCTTCTCAAAAACAAAAAAAAATATAAATTGATAATAAATTTCTTTATCTGTAAATCGGCAAGTCTCCCAAGATATTTTCTCATGCCAAAATTTTATAATCAACACATGGCTACTTAACTGTTGGTACTTAAGATGACATTTTGGAAAAATAAACAAGGGTAATTCTCTCTACCCTGTATTGACAATATTTCAGAATATTTTCTCATTCCAAAACTTTTTATAATTACCATATGGCCGTGCCTTGCCAGCACTTAAGATGATATCTTGTCCTCAGGTTTTTTGTTAATCAGTACTTTTACAAATATCATTAATCAATTGTCAAAAGCTCACATATGGCCTTTCTGCAAGTCCACTATCTACGCCAATTTTTTTTTTTTTAAAGTAACTTGATCTTATTTTTAACATAAAAAAAATAATATGGTTAATTAGTTAATTAATTACCATAGCTAAATAGTGTCACACAAAGAAAGATGGTGATGTACTGTAATGTTTTAGGTGTGGGTTTCTAGTTGGTAATAATGGTATTAAGTTTTCAAAGCATTTTCTCCTTAAAGAATTGTTCTTTTTTAATTAGAGTGGCATTAGGGAAATCAAAGTTATGTTCAGCATCACTTTGATACAAAACAAGAGAGTTAGATTGTTTGTCCAAACACAAATCTTACTGGTGTTCATAGATGCAGGCTTTTAGATCACATGATGCGTCCCTCTATATAAACCTTTTTGCATTGTAAACAATTTGATAAATCGCAGCATTTGAATAGGTGTTGGGTTTATTTTTTTTTCTTCCTAATTATATGGGGGAAGAGTTCACATTTATGTGAGAGAAATTAAGAGATTTATTTTTAAATAATTATAATTGTTAAGTTTCAACATTCCCACATCTTCAGCATTTTCCCTTGGTACATAATTATAACAGATACTTACATTTATCCATCTTCTACACATATATATATAATTCTCTGTAAAAATATTACTTTAGTCTGATGAAGTCCTTTGAGAAGATAAAACACTATCATTCTTTTACTAACATTGTTCTGATATATAAAAATTTATGGATTATATTCTCTCATGCATAACCTATAGCCTGATGATCCCTGACCAAAAAAAAAAAAAAAAAAAAAAAAAAAAAAAAAAAAAAAAGAAAGTTGCTTATGTATTTATAGTTTTATATATATATATATTATAATTGTTATTTAAAATATGATTTAACACGCTACATAAGAGTTCTCATGTTTTAAAAAAAGAGCCGAAAACTTCAATATAATTATTTGAATTAAATTGAATTAAAGTACTAAGTTTTGTTCCATCTTCAAGCGAAATTTTTATGGAACAGTACTTTAATTCAAATAATTATATTGAAGTTTTTGGCTCTTGTTTTGAAAGATGAGAACTCTTATGTAGCGTGTTGGAATCATATTTTTAAATAAATAATTATATTTATGCTCTACTTTTGTATCAAGCACTATTTTTTTAAAAATAATAACAAAAATACTAATGAACTTTGGACTATTTACCTAATGAGTTTTTTTTCTATTTTCTATATATTTTTCACACATACACACACATATATATATATATATATATATATATATATATATACACACACACATATTTTGTTTAATATATATATATATATATATATATATATATATATATACACATAGCACGTGGCTGAATTGTTAGAATGTTCACTTTCAGACCATGAGACCTGTGTACAAATTTCACCACAGTTGATTTATCAGGAAGGAGACTTCCTGATCTTATCGAGGGAGAAGTGCCTGAAAACCATGAAAAACAGAAGGCTTGGGTCAACCCTACATGGGTAGACCCAAACCTTGTGAGTGAAATTGGGTAGGCCAAACACTTGGGGAGTCATCAATAGCTGTGGTAGCACAAAGTCACAAGTCATCGTGACAGAGGGCTTGAGTATGCTGGCCTTGTTCAGATTGTTGATCCTGCTAGATAACAAGCTCTCTCCCAGAAACTGTAACTAAGGTCTGGTCAGCATACTTGCAGTATAAACCACAGCTTGGCTCTGTGGGTGTTGAACAAACACAAATGTGCCCGAGTGAGCATCTCCAATAGGGATTAGCTAGCCACCCTAGTAGATGGGTATCCTTGAATACGAGTGGCCAGCTATTATATAACACAGACTTGTATAGACATATTTACATGTAACATATACAACGTAAATATGTCTATACAACATTAATAATAAAAAAAAAAAAAATTCTCATTCATGAATCACTAACAAAGAAAGTAATCCAAATGGAAAAAGATTGTCTTCAGTTTGAAAACTGGAAATTTAAATGTATTGAACAACTCAGAGATACATTTAACCCAGAGAAAAATACAAACACATCTATATACAAAAGAATCATGCATCCACACATTGTACCTAAACACAATATGCATACATATGTATTGACCAATACACTATATATGTATGTACAGACAAGCATGTGTTTTATTGTACATCAATAAAGTTGTTTAATACAAGTAGGCATCTCAACATGGATATTAACATTTACACAACTTATACAAGTGTGACTCCAGGAAATTCTGTATTGTTTGTTTGTAATTTAGAAATAAAACAAAGCAATTCATTAAATTTAATAAATGTAAAAAGAAATGATAATCTTGAATTAGAGAAGAAGGGCTACTTCAGGCTCCATGAGACCATGGATTCTGATATGTATTTTCTTGTACAGTGTAACCCGGATATAAGAGAGTTGTCGGGACCGGAGAAGAAGTCTCTTATATCCAGGTTACACTGTATATAATATAACTTTAGTATAATACATATTTCTGGAGCTAAAAATACAGTAAATTACATCCTTTTATATAATGTCCCATAGTACAGCCATCCCTATTAATTTTTTTTTTTTTTTTTTAAATTGCACCATATTATCCATTAAAATCACAATGTCAGATATGTAATCACAATATTAAAGAACAGAAATGAACCATAAGTTCATCCATTGCATGTTTCTTCTAATTTCCATTTCAAAACTTATTTTCAAGAAAAGGGGCTAACTAGACATGTCCAGTAACACATTTTAAGGTGTTAATCTATCATATTTTTCTGATTGTATGACTAAGATTGGAAGAGACAAACAAATATTGACAATATTAAAAAAAAATTTTTTTTTTTTAATTGTTTTACCCCAAGCAAAATGGTAATGCCACTAGGATACAGTAGGTTACAGGAAGTAAAAGAGAATGAGAATTCTTTAGTAAAGAGAAGTGAGAAAAAGAAAATAAAGGAACAGGGTTCAGTTAAGCAAAAGATGGTGATTAACATTGCATTTAATTTTTTGAAGATTATATCTGTTTCTATGAAAGTCAGGAGTTTACTTGCTCCTCGCACAGACATACACACCTGTGTCAGGTAAAATAGGAATATATACAGGATCCATGCAGAGTAATCTTAAGAAAGAATTGATTCTTAAATTCCCTTTGCATATTAATTCTAGGGATATGGGAAAAAAAAATAGGAAGCTTGTCCAAGAGAATCAATGAATAAAAACTAATACAGCTCATCTCAGAAATTATGGTCAAAAAGCGGGTAAAATATTGTGAGAGAAACAACAATGAGCAAATTGATTTAGAACTGAAGACTGTTTCAGAGTCCTCTTAGAAAATATCCATTTAGTAAAAACATTTCCAACATGACGAAAAGCTACTTTTATGAAGAGAAAAAAAAAAAGAATACATATACAGTATAACCCGGACATAAGAGAGTTGTCATGACTGGAGAAGGTTTCTCTTATATCCGAGTTTTGTCTATTTTATATACATTAAATCAGGCTCTAATTTGGGACCAGAGAAAATCTCTCTTTTATCCGGGTTACACACATTATATATATATATATATATATATATATATATATATATATATATATATACACAAAACCTTTTTTCTATTTTCTTTCTGTCCTACTCTGACAGTTTGACAGTTATATTTGACAAATCACAATTTTTCAAAACGTTGCCTGTGGCTTAATACCTGTTGCAAAAATATTCCTGAACTTTCAAAAGTATAACTTTAGTGCTTATTTATAGTCTCTTCAAAAATAGCTTTCCATTTCAATAATAATCAATGAATCTGTGACTAATAATATAATGTGACAAGCATTTTCGATGGGTAGGCATAAGATAGTGTTTTGTACACAATATATATGTATGAGCTTTATCCAAATATGCATGTACTTGAGCTCTGTTTTTGCCTGAAGCTAATTTCAGAGATTCTGTATATGAAATAGGCAATCAAAATGTCTCAAAATGTTCCCCTCTTTGAGGGTCTGCCAACTGCCATTTTCTGTTCTGATTTTGTTGATTGGCAAAAGAAAAAAATGGATATTAAATGATCCAATGGCATCAAAAGTTTCAAGGGAGATTCAAGAAATTTGTTTAAAAAGAATGGAGAGGAAGAGAAATAAACTTTAATAAGAGATAAAAAGGAAAAATGTAAATGATACAAAAGGAGATTGAGTAAGAGAAGGAAAAAAGGCAGTGGAGTAGAAGGAAGAATAGCAATTGCAGTAGGTACAAAAGAAAGAAAAGCAAAGGCATTGTTGGGGGGTGGGGGTTGTGCACAAAAGAAAGAAAAGCAAAGGCATTGGTTGGGGGGCACAAAAGAAAGAAAAGCAAAGGCAAAAAGAAAGAAAAGCAAAGGCATTGGTTGGAGGGCACAAAAAAGAAAGGCAAAGGCAAAAAAAAGAAAGAAAAGGCATTGGTTGGAGGGCACAAAAGAAAGAAAAGCAAAGGCATTGGTTGGAGGGCACAAAAGAAAGAAAAGGCAAAGGCATTGGTTGGAGGGCACAAAAGAAAGAAAGGCAAAGGCAATGGTTGGAGGGCACAAAAGAAAGAAAAGGCAAAGGCATTGGTTGGCGGGCACAGAAGGAAAAAAAAGCAAAGTATTTGGTGGGGGAAGCACAGAAGGAAGAAAAAGCAAAGGGATTTGGGGGGGAAGAAAAGCAAAGAAAGAAAAAAGAAAAGCAAAGGATTTGGGGGGGAGCAGAAGGAAGAAAAGCAAAAGGATTTGGTGGGGGGGCACTGAAGGAAGAAAAAGCAAAGGATTTGGTGGGGGCGCACTGAAGGAAGAAAAGCAAAGGATTTGGTTGGAGGGGCAAAGAAGGAAAAAAGCAAAGGATTTGGTTGGAAGGGGGCACTGAAGGAAGGAAAGGGGCAAAGGAAGAAAAGCAAAGAAAAAAAGCAAAGGATTTGGGGGGGGGGTACACTGAAGGAAGAAAAGCAAAGGATTTGGTGGGGGGCACTGAAGGAAGAAAAGCAAAGGATTTGGTGGGGGGGGCACTGAAGGAAAAAAGCAAAGGATTTGGGGGGGCACTTTGAAGGAAGAAAAGGATTTGGTTGGGGGGGCAAAGGATTTGGTGGGGGGGGAAGAAAAGCAAGGATTTGGTTGGGGGGGCAGGAAGAAAAGCAAAGACATTAATTGAAAGGAAGAAAAGCAAAGGATTTGGTGGGGGGGAAGGAAGAAAAGGAAGGAAGAAAAAGCAAAGGATTTGGTGGTGGGGGCACAGAAGGAAGAAATGCAAAGGGATTTTTTTTGGCACTGAAGGAAGAAAAGGCTAAAGGAGGAAGAAGGAAGAAAAAAAAAGGATTTGGTGGGGGGGCACAGAAGGAAGAAAAGCAAAGGATTTGGTTGGGGGGGCACAGATGGAAGAAAAGCAAAGACATTAATTGTGGGTGCAGAAGGAAGAAAAGCAAAAGTGTTGCTTGGGGTGCACAGAAGGAGCAAAGGCATTGGTGAAGGGAGAGAAAGAAAATTACAGTGTCATTGGAGGGAGAGGAAGGAAGGAAAAGAGAAATATACAAAAGAAGTATAGAAAAACAGGAAGAAAATATAGAAAGCTGGAGAGAGAGGAAATGAAAAGAAAAAAAATTGTATGATTGAGAATTGAAGAAATCCATAGCAAATCCAAAAGTCTAAAAATGACTGTATGCTTGCCAAAATTGCTAATGATTCCATTTTCAATTGCTCTCAGGGAAAACATAGGGCAAGGTTTGAGCTGAGCATCCAGTCAGAGGATTATTTACTGACTCTGACCAAAGTCTTTGATGCTAATCTTAACTTCTATTTGTGCAGCAGCAAAAGTATTTTTGTGCTTGCAAAATGGCCAGGAGTCAAAGTCAGTATACGCTATGATCCAACTGACAAAGGCTGCAGCAGAAATAGGAAAAGACTCACTTTTCATGCAAGAAAGGATTTTCTTATTTTAGACATTCATTAAATATATTACTTCTACTTTACCAAGAAAATGAACCAAAAAGGAATATGTCAAAATAATATATAACATTCATCAGCTATGACACTTCTTCAATTTCTTTTTAAGCTAGAAAAAGAAATCATTTAATGGAATCTCTTGAAATTTTAATAATATTAGATGCATTAAAAAAATATTTTTTTTAGCCTCCTGGGGTTACTAATTAACATTTCTTTCATCATACTCAGCACCCACTTGACTGTTAGAAAACATCAGTACTAGAAAGGATGATAACAGTGGAGTTGAAAAGCCTATTTTCTTGAAAACAAAAAAATATATATATATTTTAAGAGAAAGATTTTATAAATTACAACCGACAGTAATATACATTCTTTGGTCAATGAGTGTCGAATATTTCCTGTATGGAAATGGCTAATCTCACCATTAGCATTTAAAATGAGGAATAAACAATATATCAGTGGCCATGTTTTCTTTAAAAATACATTGAAAATCAGGAATTAATACAGCCTTTAATGACAATATGATTTTTTTTAATTAAAAATCCATATTCCTTTTCTTGAAAATCAAATAGAAAGTGATTTTTTTAGGAATTAATGCAAGCATCATGTGTATTATAAATATTTGTAGTTTTTACAATTTCATTAAATTAACTTTTTCAACCACGAAATTATTTTTTGGAAATTGTGTAAAGAAAGAAAGGCGTGATTTGTGTGTTTGTTTAGTGGCATATCAACTCCTTATAGGTCATTTAATGCCAAAATTTAATTTTCATAGTAGCATTAGTAATTTCTTTTACAAAAAGAATATGTATTTTTATACAAGTCAATGTCAATATACCTGTTCTGCAATATATTTTATATAGTAATATATAGTACATATAAAAAAAATCCCTTACTATAAAGGTAATTTACATTAACCAAAAAAAAAAAAGGCTTAGACAGAAGCATCTATCTTTTTAAATTTGGATTTTTTAATGTAACTATAACAACAAAAACATTTCGATTTCATTTTTGCCTTGAAAAAGTCGGACAACGAAACGCGGCGGCAAAATCTAAGATTTTTTTCCAATTGTCATTTTATACCAATCTGTCTTGTCCACAGAATTGATCTGGGAATTTAACTGTAACTACATATACTTTAGTATATGCTAAAATTGAAACAGCTAAATATCTTCCTTGCATTGTAATTGTTATTGGTTCAGACTTTGTGATGTCCTTTGTGGCTGCATCCCATTGGAAAATACTTGGCACATGTGCCATAGGTTGCCAACCCCTGCATTATACCAACTCCACATCCAAGCAGGTATTCCCAAGTGATCACCCATCTAGATATTGACCATACTTGACATTGGTTAACATTGGTGATCATACGGGAACAGGTGTTTCATTCTTCTATGGCCATAAGCCTACAAGAATTTGTGGAGAGCCATCATTGTCTTTGTTCTGAAAGGACATGGCACAAAAAAGGGGTTTTTCTCAGATATAAAATAATCTAAACATTTGTTTCCTGATCTTTTTTCTATATTAATCACTGTATTGTTTTTTTTAATTAAAGGTAGTTTAGTAAATGAAATAAGAAGTTATGGTGGTTCCATCTGTCATCAAAGCAAAAATATTGCTTCAATATGTCCAATATTTCTTATAATCAAATCTTTGCTATTTTCTTTTTGTTCTCTTCTCCAATTTCAGATATAGATATTTCATTTTGAAATGAAAGTGTTTCCCAAATAGCACCTGCATCCACAGCCAAATTTTACAAACAGAAACAGCTAACAAGATACAAAACACATGTAATGAAATTTTAAAATTTCTATTGAGCATATTTTCATTTTGATATTTTAGAAAAATAAAAAAAAAGGTTTTCACATAAACCAGATGGTATTTTCAAAAAGCAAATACATTTTTAAACAGTTCATTTAGAAATTCAATAAACACTTAATTGAATAAATGACTTCATTCTCTACAGATATTTTATCTCTGCCACATACAAGGTCTGTTTGATAGGGAAGCAACCATTTCGAACATTTCTAGGATTCTGATGCAACCTGGCAACTAATCAGAAAAGATTCTTCTGTCATGCCTCTTCGAGATATGGACAATTATGGCTCTCCATAACCTACTCTTCATTGTATCTCTTAGCAACATTTGCCTGTTTGCAATCTATTCACACAATCTCATCAGGTAGGTGGCCCACTGTCTTCCTTTCCCTGTTCCTTTTCCCTTCAATATATCAAGTCCTCATTCCTCATCATCTGTCCCAGAAATTTTAGCCAACCCTTTCCGAGTCTTAGTATAATTATCCTTTTTGCTTCCATTTCCCTTAAGATTTCATTGTTTACATGTTCCACCCATGGAATTATTGGCATCCTTCTAAAGAACATTACTGTTGCTTCTAATTTTCTTATCACATGAGAGGAGCTTGTCCAACATTCAAAGCCATATAGGAGGATTGATATTACATAAGAGTTCAGTACAAATGGGATTACCCATTTGCCTGTGAGATGCCATTGAGTGAGCTTGTTTACTGTGAAGGGCGTTTGGCAAAACAGAGCATCCCTGTCTGTTACACCACACCTTGTTTTTGAGTTGGCTCCCACTAACTCCTGGCTATTGTTGTTGAGAAGGTTTGGTTTGTTTTACAGCATATCAATCTCAACGTGTTATTTAATGCTGACAAAATTTTTATTGCTGGTAATGTTTTTCTTCAAAAATCTATTTCTGGGAATATTTTTCCTTGAAGAAATCTAGAGCTGGTAATATTTTTTTCAAAAAATGTATAGCTGTTTGTATTACTGGTATTTTTTTTAAAGTATTGCTGATAATAATTTTTCCTACAAAAATTAGTGCTGGTAATTTTTATTATTATTATTATTACAAAGTATTTCTGCTATTAAAACCTATTTTTACAAAAGTTTGGGTGTTAGCTATTTGCCCATAGCTGGGACCCTAACAGATGCTACCACCCCAGGTCGGGGTGGACTTTGGAACACCAGCAATTAAGAGGTGGTTCCACGCTCCTCAAAATCTCCTGATCAGAGGCCTTGCTGTTGGGCGTTGTTTATTGTCATACCCAGGACGGTGTTGTTGAGAAGGAGAAGATTTCAGAATAAAGGGAATAAAACAAGACAGCTGACACTGTAGATTGTTTTAAAAAATTAAATTAATGTTAGTATAAGCATCTAAGGTCACAACGGGTGTATTTTAAAAGAGACTAACAGAAAGGCTGAAAATAGCATGGACAGAACGTGAGCAATGAAAAGAGGAAACTTAGACTAACAATTAGAAAAAGACAGCTGAGATTTCTGGTACACATAATGAGGAAAGAGGGCACGGAGAATCTAACACTCATAAGGCATAGTGAAGGCAGGAGAAAGTATGGAAAACAGTAACAAAAGAAAACACTTCAAAATAAAGTAATCATAGAAATATAGGATTTGATGAAAATCAATACAGCAGGTGCCTGCTACCTCTCAGCCAAGTATGAAGTCAGTTTTCCTTACTCAGCATGCATAAATTCATGAGCTTCTCACAAGTCAGGTGAAGTATGGATGACCAAAAGTGACAAAACCTGATATTACCTAAAAGGAAGCATTTGAATATTAAAAATAAAAATAATATATAATAATATATCAAGCTTGAAATGCTGATAAAGAACCAATCATTTTTGCCCAAATGGATGGCAGAACAAGGACAAAAACACATGGCAACAAGTCAAAAACTACTAAGAGCAACAACTCAAAGGAAATTGTGGAGAGCCATAATTGCCCACAACCTTAAGTGATACAGCCTATAAAAGAAGAATGTGGCACTATTCAAAGTAGGTTATTCTTTTGTATTAATCTTCAATACTTTCCAGACATACCACCTCTGCCCATGAATAATAGTGTCATGTTACCTTTTAAGCACATAGGAGAAACTAGAAATTGGCATGACAATTTTCAATGTTTTTTTTGTTTTTTTTAAATAGAAACAAACAATATTTCCCTGATCTGCCCAAGAACAAGGAAACAGTTAATTTAATTCTGCCTATAGTTTCCCATCATGCCTAGCTAAAGCTATCTCCACAGACCCCAGAGGCTATCATACAAACTATCACCACAGAACACGAAAAAAAAAAAAAAAAAAAATTTCACAAAATAATATATTAATTGCAGTAATTATCTGTGAATAATAAACACTTTTTTCCCAGATTTTTAAGCCTAAACATTAGTGGCACATATTTATCCACAAAAACTAAATATTAACTATTTTTCTATCACTATGTTTGGGATAGTATGACTAAAATTAAGTTACATTTATTTGTTCAAACTGACTGACCATGTCCTAGGGATATCTTGTCTAGTTCTTATTTAGCACTGCTCAATTATTGCTTGACCTGTTTTCAAGCACACACCGCCTGGCCCAAGGACTGAACTCACAATTACAATGTCACTAAATTTATGAAGCAATTCTTTAATGGCTGTTGTCCAGCATTAAATCTCTGAGCTAGCAGTGTAGAGCTAAACTCAGTGGAAAAGGGG